TTATTATTATTATTATTATTATTATTATTATTATTATTATTATTATTTATAATTTATATAGTTAACTTTCTTGTGGTTCGACTCCGGTCTTGCCGGATTATTTATTACTTTGACACTCTTGCACTTGGGATAATACATCAACTCTTTGATCGTGTCAATTCTAACCCTAAATTTCTTAACTGGGGTACAATTCTTTCATTGGCATTTCATCCCTAATCTTTGGAGAAATTCTAGGGCTATTCTTGACCGTTTGATTGAGTGATTTTTTATAGAGCGTTTGGTTGAAGGATTCTATTTGAAGATCCAATTAGGGTTTTTTTATTGGGTTTTAGGGATTCAATTAGTTTATAAATGAAGATGAAGTTGAAGTAGTGAAGGGTTTTTTAAGGGATTGAAATGTAGAGGTTTTGTTAATTTTGCAGTTATGAAGGACATTTTATGATGTTTCTTTTACATGTTTGTGTTTCATATGTTGTCTAAAGAGGTTTTTGTTTGGAAGATGAGAATGTTTAGAGTTTGAATTTGTTATGTTTTTCAGTCAGTTAGAGGAGTTGAAAGACAAGATAGTTAGGGTAAGATTTTCTTGTTGTTAAAATTTTACATGTATTTTTCCTCTTAGATGAAATATAATGGCATGGCCTTGAAACTTGGTAATATTTTAGACAAAAACTACATTGTACGGGATGTCTTGGGCTTGAATCAATTAAGACATTTTTTTCTTCTTTTCTAAAAATTGTTAAGAAGGAATATGATTTGGTGTTTTTTTATTAATTTTTCTAAAATCTCGTCATCTTAGTTAACTCTGAATCATAATTTAACTGTTAATTAAGATTAAATATATGCTTTTTATTCAAGAGGTTTTTAACCAAGTTTAAATGTTTTTTTTATTTTATTTGAGAGATTTTTTAACATATCCCACCAAGCCTTTGTTGGAAAGTTTTTTTCTTTTAAAGTGATTTTTTTGAAAAATAAATTTCTGAAAAGTGAATTATATTTTAATATTTGGTAATATCATGAAAAATAAGTTACAAAATATTTTTAAATATTTGGATATGTCATGGAAAATGAGCTGAAAAATAAATTTTTAATATTTTTTTAAGTTTATTAAAATAATAAGAAACAAATCTTACAAATCAAAAGGTTGAATGAGAATAAAATTGAAAAAAAAAAACTAATCTAGTTTCATAAATTATCTCAAATAAAATAAATAATAATTAAAATAATAGAGATCAAATCTAACAGATAAAAAAGTTGAAAGATGATGAAATTAAAAAAAAAACATACAATTTCATAAATTATTCCAAATAAAATAAATAACAATAAAAAAATAAAAATCAAATATGATAGATTAAAAAAATTCATTTAAGAAAATGATAAAAGAAAAGCAAATAACAATCATAAAAATAAAAACCAAAGTTGATATAAAAATCAAATTAAATTAAATTTTAAAGGATAAAATTAAAAAAATCAAAATAAAATATATAACAATGAAAAGTTTGAAGATCAAATTTAATATAATCAATAAATAACATAATATTTCTAAATTTTTCATAACTTCTAGAAAATATTTTATGTCCAAAATAAAAGGAACGCTTTCTAGAAAATTAAGTCAAATTTTTATTTGACTGAAAAATATTTTATTAACTAAATTTTTTAATTACAAATAAACACAAAAAAAATAAAATATAATTTTTTAAAATTATTTTTTTATAAAATAAGCATACCTTAATAGAATTCAATAAGATGATTTAATCAAAACAAGTACACCTAATCAATAAAGAAATAAATTTTAATGTAACCATTTCGTCTAAGCTTCAAAAATATTTCTTTTGGAAAACTCATTTGAAATGCAGTTATTATTACAATTTTGATTTTTATCCTTTTTTTATTTTAAAAATATTTTAAAAAAAAATTAAAATTCTTTTTTCTTGGATTCCAATTATTACTTTTGTTAATAATTTTAAATAATTTTAATATATATATATATATTAAAAATATTTTTAAATAAAAAATACTTTAAAAAACATTCACAACCACGTACTAAATAATACCTATTACTATGAGATGCCACTTCGTATTGTGAAACGTGAAGGCCCGATTTATTTACTTGATACTCATGATCTGAGTTTATAAGCTTCACATAATACAATATAGTTGGGCCCCCCCTCTAATACTAAAGTGTAATTAGTTATGTGTAGAGAGTAAACTAACATGGGTCATCAAAATCCAGAAGATCTTGTGCTCAAGGAAGATGATGAGCTCATAATTTCCTGACCAAGCTCCTTTATCTTGTTCAGTAGAAGCATTTGCTCAGTCTCGAGCTGTACCGTGTACTCTTCTAGCATGTCCTCTAGGCTTTGCATCTCGCTCAGGACTGTCGAGAGTCCCTCCAGGTTGCCATCCTCAATCAAAGACTGCAACTTGATCATCGATTGTTTCATCTGGTCAAAACCCATTCAAAGAAACAACTTCAGACTTGAAAACATATGTTAATTCATGAAAAACATAATAATCAGATAAGATTTCATCATGGATCCAATAAAAAGAGCAAAAATAAAAGTATGGATTGAAAAAAACTCAAGTTTTGCAAGGAAAGAGAAAATCACATGGCATCGTTAAATATTGGTCACTAGCTTAAAGGGATCCCGTAGAAAGCTTAAATTTAGAAACAGCAGCAGTGATTATACAAGATAAAGAGCTTGAGAATGTCAAATTGATTGGTCTAGAGGTGGTGTACAGGACTATCATCCTGTAACACATTATCATCACCTGGTTAGAAATTTGGTGTGATTTGGTTAAAGATGCATCAGCCTCCAAACTGCTTCTTGTTTGTAGTTCTGGAACTTTCCTAGTTATCCGAACGTGGATCTCTCCCCTTGTTACTCCTTGGAGAGGTATCCACTTCTCAGAAGTCTGGTTTGGAGGCAATCCCTGATACTCTACAACACAATCACCTATACTATAGGTTGGAAGCAAGGCATTATAGTCTTTCACATGCAACTCCAAGAGACTGCCATCATCAGGGAACTCCAAGGTCTGATTCCATTGAGGATTCAGAGTTTTGTACATAACCTGAAAAGCAATACAAGGCACGGTAGGTAAGTGATTGTAGTGTTGTAGCATCCAACAGAAGCAACAGCAGGGCATAAACCAGACCACATACCTTTGTTCTCTTCTTCAAGCTTCCATAATGCACCCTCACATATGGATCACTTGTCCCTCTAATATCAGCAGCAATAAGATCTTTTGCTTCAACAAGGATAAGTTCAATGCAACCATTGAATGAACCTGAGACAGAACCCTAAGCATATTCGAGGAACAAAAAAACAATAATATCATTAGCTATAAGGATTTCAGAATATTAGGTCGCTGACAACAAGCCGTTCATAATAGCTTGGTAATACAACAGCTTGTTTGCACTCTTAAAAACAAGCTGGTTATGAACAAATCTGAACTTCAAAAACTGATATACATCAGCGAAGCAAGCAAGCAGGTCAGCCTAATATGTTTTACATGTCTACAGGTCAACGCACCTTCACATGTCCAGATGAAATAAGCTTTTGCATCTTTCAAACATTATTATGGTGTCAGGTGACTGCCTTAATTTTTAATGCCATGAAATGGCTTTTTGATTTTCAAAATGCATTTTAGTAAACTACAGGAAATACAGTATTGTTAAACCTTAAATATGATATAATCATACCCGTGATCCTTCAGAGTCATTGACTCTGACTGCTTCTATTTGAAGCCTTAATTCTCCTGAATTCACTCTTTCAAGGGGAACCCATATGTCCCTGATTGATCCCTCCAGCAAACCTTCTAAATTTACTCGTGCACTACCAATGTTTTCATCTCCAAAGGTTTCTTCGCTGTAGCATTTAATCTTAAGGCATCCATCATCTACTATCTCATCAAATTCAAACTTTTGATTCCAGAAAGGATTAGAACTGTGTGCAGTCCGTGTTTTCTGTAGGACCTGAGGAGACAGGTTAGAAGCATGATCAGAATCAAACGCAAATACTCTTGTGAAGTATTTATGTAGTTTCCCATACATATGGATCGGCTTCAGTTTCCCATACATACATGAAGAACCTAGAATCCTACCTTTCCATATTGCAGTTTAACATATGGATCACACTTTCCAGATCTTTCTTTTGAAATAAGATCTTTTCCCTCCATGATAACCACATTAATCTTCCTTCCTGTTCTTGAAAGAAGATTTGATGATCCATACATCGACTTCTGAGAGCTAACATTGAACTTGTTCAAGCTAAGGGAACCATCAGAGAACTGCCATTCTTTTACTACAAGCTTGACAGTCAACTGCCACATGCATATAAACAAGAGAAATGGCTTAGTTATCATCATTAAATCCTCTACTGACACAAGTTAGAATGAGTTACTTGATATCAATTGCATATAACACGATGAAAGTTTAAAAACAACTGCATGTTATCAATTACTCAAAATTTGAAACCAACAGTTGTCTATGCTTGTGCTGGTGCAAAGTTGTATCGCAATTTAGTCTAGAACTCCATCAAAAGGAAACAAAATCAACCACATTTGATTTTATATGGGATTCAAACTAGTTTCTACAGCAGCTGAAATTTTACAATTGATGCAACAAAAGATGACCTAAGGCTAGTCAAGGCTTTAATACTCCATCATAACTAGCTTCTGTTAAGCACAACAAGAGAAATATATCGATACAACACAGCAACTCAAAAACAAGTAACTAGTCACAATAAAAAATTTCATGTGCTACCTCTCCTGAAGTAACTCCCTCAAATGGAACCACCATTTCAACTTCTTTTCCACAAAACTCAGCATGTTTGGCAACTACACCAGAGTCAGGTCCCATTGCCCAAAACGCTGTTGAATCATCTGCAGCATACTTCATCTGCTAGTACAAACCAAGAAAAAAAGATGCTAAATTAATTGAAACACAGAAATTTTTCTGAAGGAAAAAAAACAGGGATGTCTAGATGAACAAATGTCAGGCAATACAAGTCAAAAGCACACACTCTTGTTGCATCCATGATTTTAGAGTCACGTTTATTTCTGAAACTTGGCTCTGCTTCGTTTCATTTTTGGAGATATATATAATGCTTGAAAATGTTAAGTCTTTCTTTTAGGAGACCTGGCTGCAATGGCAACGCATTTCAACATTGCAGTCTTTTGACTTCGTGCATTACAATCTACAAGGCATGAATGATGTAGTTTACAAATTTACATAATGTGTATTAAAAAAAATCACTCAATGACAAATAAAATCAATCAATTAAAGTTTAGTGGTAATGTAATAAAGAACAATAAGATTTAAGCTCCTAAGTTTTTGCGATGAAATTATTCATGAAAAATTCAGAAAAATATCCTGTGATGACCAATATAGGGTGCTTATGATGGTTTAACTAATTAAGAAATAAAAAACATCCCCTCATTTGAAAACCTCAATCTCCTACAACGATAACAAAAAATAATTGCATGCTGTACGCCAACTTTTGGCTAATGTTTAAAACATGTGACAAAAGGCTGAAACTCACACAATAATTAAAAACCCAATGAAAGTGACCTGTTGCTCTCTAATTTACACAAAATAAGAGTCAGCTTGTACCTTGATCTCACAAGTTGCTAGATAATCATACTTCACACTGTTGGGTGGGCAGTTGTAAAGATGTAACCTAAGAGTTCCTGTATCTTCATGTAAGACCATGTTAAATGTTGAATCCCATCTAGGGCTTGAGCCTCGTCTCACTTCTGTTCTCCTTGTTAACTGTCCAAGTTCAACCTCCACAAATGTTCGCAGATCTTTATCATCAAAATGCTCCACCAAACTACCATTTAACGAATGACTTTGTTCCCTTCTTGAAGGGCTTCCTCTCAGGTTACTTCTAGAAAGTTTTCTAGCTGAGATGACTGATACATATACAATTCCACCAACAGCCTTTTTCCTTAAATCTACTGCTGGTAAACAGTAACAACGACGGTGAGGCTCAACCATTGTCTTAACTAAGGTGTCAGTTAAAACCTTGACCTGAAATTTTAAAGAAAAAGAAGAACAAACACTTATAAGACCAATAGTACTGGAAGAACTAGAATAGAAGCAGAATAGAACAAACACAATTAAGGAAGTACAGCAAGATACATCATTATGAAATACTAAATACCGTACATGTCGTAAGTTAGCTAAAAAGAAACATGATGAATTCTAAATACTTAATTCAAGAGGCTAGAAAATTCCATGTAATAATAATAAAAATAATGAAAATAGAAATAATATAAAATTTACTACCTATTCATGTGAATAAAATAAGTTAATAAATAAAAAATACCAGCCAAGAAGAAACGCCGGGCAGCTCTGTGGCAGGTAGTGACTGGCTTCCTCCACTCCCAAAAGCAACTCCTATTCTTACTTCAGGAGTTGACACAAATGAGTACAATACTGCTCTCCCATCCAGAACTGGCATCAAGAGAAGCTGTTAAAAAAAAAAAGATGAGAGATTAAACAGCAACCTCAAAGGAAAAAACTGATGCACTTGAAAGCCAAATAAAATCCGAAATTTAGGAATGGCTCGCTTAAGAAACAAGAAATTAAATGCACAATAAAAATTGACAGTCTCAAATAGGATTACAACGATATTAATAAAAAAATGTTTGAAAAAAGTATTCCATGCTTGTATATCTCCCAAGTACAGAACCTATGTCCTCTCCCTTGAGTAGCTCCACATTGTAAACAGTATAGAAAATGCATTTCCAAATGTTCATCTCCCACAGCAATGAATTTTCAGATCTTTGCTAAATTTTGCAGATAAATCCCAAGCAATAAGCAAGGAGTGGAAGATCTCAAGGATATGGATACATTGAGAAGAAGCATTTTTTTACAATTACTAGAAGCACTTCAAAACTACTTGGAGCTTTGAATTTTAAAGTGGTTGGAAAGGGAGAGGGAGAAAGGAAGAAGAGCATGAAGCACAGGAGAGGAAAAGAGTGAGAAAGAATTGGGGCACAAACTTACAAATTATTCGCCAGGAGGCCAAGAATGAGATCATGGAATGCTTATGGCGGCATATAAAGGAGCTATGGGCTAACATAGGAAATGATGTAACAAAAAATCATAGGGCTGAGAGAATGTGACCATCATTACCAACTTATAAACTTACTTTTGGATGTTAATGTTAGAGAATAATATAAATCATATCTTGGAGTCTCACCTAACAGCTTAAACTATGCGGTTGAGATGGTTCTTTGACATGATATCAGAGATTTAATGACCAAGCAGTTACAAATTCAAATCTTACCATCTCTATTTATTTGATAAAAATTAATAACAAGGTAATGTAGGTCTATGCAAGTTTCAAGCCCAAAGGGCTTTCACTTAAGGGAGTATGTTAGAGAATAATATAAATTATATCTTGAAACCTCACCTAACAGCTTTCAATTGAGGAAGTATGTTAGAAAATAATATAAATTATATTTTAAAACCTCACCTAACAGCTTAAGCTATTAAGGTGAAATGATTCTTTGACAATTAATATTGAAATGCTTTATTTGGTCAATAGCATTTATTAAATCACCGCCATGTGTGTGTTTGCTTCTTCTTTTTTGGTGTGCTTGTATGTGTGTGTGTGTGAAAGAGAGAGAGAGGGAGAGAGTAGCCAAAAGGGAAAAAAACTAATATGTACAAGTAACTGATCCCGCCAAACAAATGAGGGAAGGTCATGTAAAAGATACTTTGATGGTTCTCTTACACTCATTTTTTGGTGTCAATATCCATGAGGAACACATAAAATCAAGCCATTAGCCATATACATTTTGATCAATCAACCAGTGCCAACACAAAATTATTTAGAGTGCAGAAAACATAAATGATTTTACATACCTCACCCTTGAAGTGGAGGCTATTTATAACAATCCGAGCAGTTCCCATTAATGGCTTTGCCAGCTTAGCCAATAATAAAATGCTCATGTCACTGGTATCCCAATCGAAACCCAAATTCATAATTCGCTGTCATAATGCATAAAAAATGCAATGTGAAAATATGAGAAAAAATTACTGTTTGAAGGGGGGATAACACATTAAGTTAGAAAAATCACTAGAACAATTTAGTATACATTGTATTCGTCTCTATAACCTCTATATTGTGCTTTAACTTTTCCCTTTCTTTCTTCATTAAACACCTTACATTTCAAAATAAATGCTCAATCATCATTCCAATAAAGTGTTTGAGAGTATGGTAGATGTTATTTTCCAAGTTACTTTTATATTATTAAAATACATTAAAATAATATTTTTTTTATTTTTTAAAATTCATTTTTAACATCAGCACATCCAAAACAATTCAAAAACACTAAAAAAAATAAATTTGAAGCAAAACAAATTCAAATTTTGACGAAAAGCAGTTTCAACTTAAATGTCAAACACCCTATAAGTCAAATGACTTAATTTTTCATTTGGTAGTTGGCTCATCAACCACCTTAATTACATCAGACTCAATCACCTCAAACACCAGTTTCCACTTCTCATCATCTTGTGCCTAACTTAATTATTAACTCATATATCAATAACAAAGTGGAGGAGAAGGCAGACCAAAATGCAATGTCCGTTGAATCATAGGCTCCTAATGGAATAACTTTAGCTTGCATCTTCTGAGCAATTGCAAGCAAAGGCAATTGCATGTTCTTTAAAAACTCATCCCAATATGGGTTTAAGATGCAATCAAATTAACAAGCTCCTTGATTTGGTTTCTCTTTGCTAGTTAAAGGATCCTTTTGAGGTCATTTTTGTTGTTTGGAACTAGCATGAGTTTTATAGTAACAAGTTTAGTTGGAATGTATTGATGAGCAAGTCTAGTGACCAACTAAATTCCACTCATGACAAGCTCAATAATGAACTACTTAAGATAAGCTAGATTGACTTTTTCCATGCAGTTTCATCAATTAGTCACCTCGAGCTCCAATTCTCACTTCTCATCATCTTGTGCCTAGCTTAATCACTAACTTATACATCCATAACAAAGTGGAATCAAAGGCAGACCAAAATGCAATGCCCATTGAATCATAGGCTCCAAATGGAATAACTTTTCCTCGTATCTCTAGAGCAATTTTCATTCCTATACTTGCATCAGTTAGTGCTAAAGCAGAGACAATTGTATGTTCTTTACAAATTCATACCAATATGGGTTCAGAATGCAATTAAATTAACAAACTCCATAATTTGGTTTCTCTTTGATTGTTATTGAGGTCATTTTTGTTGTTTGGAACTAGCACGAGTTTCATTGTAACAAGTTCAGTTGGAATGTATTGATGAGCTTGTCTAGTGAACTAAATTCAACTTATAAAAGCCTCAATAATGAACTATTTAAGGTAAGTTAGATTGACTTTTTGCATGTAATTTGATCAAAGACTTAACTTTTTATAAGATGTTGTGAAACTAAGTCATTCTTTGCTTAGTCACTTCAAGCACTAGTTCTCACTTCATATCATCGAGTGCCTAGCTTAATCAATAGCTCATATATCCATAACAAAGTGGAACAGAATGCAAACCAAAATGCAATGCCCGTTGAATCATAGGCTTCCAATGGAATAACTTTTCCTCGTATCTCTAAAGCAATTTCCATTCCTATACTTGCATCATTGAGTATTGAAGAAGAGACAATTGTATGTTCTTTACAAATTCATACCAATATGGGTTCAAGATGCAATCAAATTAACAAACTCCATAATTTTGTTTCTCTTTGATTGTTAAAGGTTCCTTTGAGGTCATTTGTGTTGTTTGGAACTAGCACGAGTTTCATAGTAAGAAGTCTAGTCGGAATGTATTGATGAGCTTGTCTAGCGAACAACTAAATTCAACTCATAAAAGGCTCAATAATGAACTAATTAAGATAAGCTAGATTGACTTTTTACATGCAGTTTCATAAAAGACTTAATTTTTGTGAACTGTTGTGATAACTAGTCATTCTTTGTTGTGAATCAATAATGAACTAATTAAGATAAGCTAGACTGACTTTTTCCATGCAGTTTCTTATAAGACTTAAATTTTGTAAACTGTTGTGATACCAAGTCATTCTTTGCTGTGAACCTCAGTATTTCTTGCTGGAACTTTATTGCTAGTCCACATATTTAGTAAAGTCAATGTCAAAATGCACACTATTGATTACTAGAACATATACAATAGGCCAATCATTAACATCATTAATGTAATATTTCAACACGAGCACTTGCATACTCCTACTGTCTTTTGCACTAAATGAATAACTGGATCCACCAAATGCATCAGAAATTTTTGAAAGGCACAGAAACATAAGGTTGCTTGTAAGACAATAAACAGAAAAAACAGAGTGGTTGACCTTGTTGATTAACATTTAATTGTAAGGTAATATTAGCAAGCATTAGGTAAAGTATATGTAGATACATTCCAAGCTATACGAAGGGGTAAAACAGCAAACAAAATTCAAAAAGTGAAAATGGAACCAAACCTGATCACCTGAAGTTGACCAACAAGTCCCATGTGGACCCAGAGAAGGTGGGCATGAGCCAAGTGAAAATTCCTGCAACTCAATTTTTTCCTACATGAAGGGTAATATTTTCTCAGGAAACATGTACAATAATGTTAATCTTAACTTATATTTTCATGGAAATTAATAGAAGAGAAAATAAGTATATCACTTACGATGAGCTTCAACCTGCGTTGTTTTAAACGTTTCTGCAAAGAAAAATGTTGAACTTTTTTGTTTGATCTCACAAAGAACCATAAATACACGCAAGTGTGTGCATGAGTACACCTTCATATACGCAAGAGAAAGTTCATTTAGATCAAAAAATAGCAAAAACAAATATCAAAAGGTAGGAACAATGCCTTGGCCCCCTTTCTAGCAGTAAAGAAATGGAAGTGTGATGCCAAATCAATCAGTAAAGAAGTGGAAGTGTGATACCAAATCAATCAAACACCATTTTTCAAATGATTACGTGTTCTTATGATTGATTCCCAAGAAATTATGACAAAGTGGGAATGATTCAGAGTTCTAGAGCCCCTTTCTAGTAAGTTAGGAAACAAGAGTGTGATGGGAAATCACTTTTATTGCAGCTTCATTTTCCTGGACGATTTTCTTGTGGTATAAGAAAGCCACTGCACAACTGTAGTCCTGCCACTGTGTCATTCACAAAACCCCACAAAGAGCAGACATTTGGAATGTGCCTTTTGCTTTTAGCTTTTAAACAAGAAGATCATAAGGAAATTTAGATGGCATAAATATAAACACAGCCAGTAGACATCTTGGAGCTCAGACAATAATGAACAAATAAACCTTGGCATAGGATAGAAAATTTTCAGTAAAAGTGACTATATCGCACAAGCCAATTAAAAACAATCAAAAAATCCTGACCTCAACAATGGATGAGAATCTTGTTGCAAGCTTTGGGTTCATATAGCTGGTCCAAATTTCCATCAACAGCTTGTTCAGCCACTCACAGTGTTCCAATGGCGTTATGGGCTATGCATTTATGTGAATAGATTATTAGACTGAACCTAGTTAACACGAAATTTTGGGTAATCACAGAAGAGAACAAAGAAAGAAGAGATACCGAGGTGTTCAATACAACTCGCTTCCACTTCTTGTTTAGGTCTTCCACAAGAAGTCTATGTTGATAACTGCAATACTACAGAGGGAAAACAATAATTTCATTTTACAGCATTTCACATGCTGTGCTGAAAGCACAAGAGGAACCTAACTCTACAATGGCAACCCATAGTTATTTAAAAGGTGATGCAAGTAATGTTGTTAATCTAGGACCCACTGCTAGAATCAAAGTCAACTTTACCACAATCAAAGTCTAACCGAAAAGAGGAAAGGGGTGGGCAACAATAAACAGTGATCACAACATTTGTTTACACTGGGGGGAGAGTGATAAGCCTGAGCATGATTTAGAAAATATAAACTGTACTTGCATTTAAAGATTTTCAACTACATAAAGTTGTCCTTCTCTAGTAAATCACACCTAAATGCAGCAGCTTTTTTTGAAAATAAATGAATAAGAGATTCATAAGACCTCAAGAATTCAACAAAGTATATCCCAATTTTAACATCCCATAATATGAAACTTTTCAAGTACAAAAGTTTAATGACAAATGATAATAAAATCTAAACTAAAGAAAATAATAATCAGACAATACTGCATCACCATCCAAAATAGACATTGAAGACCAGAAAATATCAAGTTAAAGCGGGAGAAAAGTGAATTGATGGACTTGCCCGAAAAGTAGCCCAGATAGCAACGACAAGAGGAACCCAATTGGAGAAAGAGAAAACCCATTTCTCAATACCCCAACAAACCAAAAGCAAGGGGATTAAGAAAGCAATAGAGGGCTTTTCCTCCAAGAGATGATTAAAGAACTCCAAAACCTCTTCAACTTTGAAACCGGCCCTACCCTTTCTTCTTCCCATTTTTTCAAGTCAAGACAAAACCTACAACTTCACTTTCCTTGTTTATAATATCCTCATATACCATGATCCATTGTTAACCGTATATCCCCATGAAACAAAAGGCCATTAATTTCCTGGAAAGTGTGAGAGAATCGTTACCTTCAAAAAGCGCTTGGAAGGAAATTTTAACGGTTAAAGATGGGAACTTGAAGAGACTGGACTTTGTGTTTCCATAGTGGAGAGAGAGTAACATGAAAAGTCCACAAGTCGTCAAGAAAATAAGAAAAAGCATTCATTTTATTTTTTATTTTTTATTTTTTATTTTTTTGAACTCTTTTAAGTTAACGAACTTTGCATACAAGTTAACTAACGGTTTTATTTTGTCCGAACAACTACCAATGCTGTGTTCTTATTTTCTTTTATTTAATACTACTCTCACCTAATTTTCTCCTGAGAATTATATTTGTATTCCATATTAAAAATACCTGTTTATACATCAATCACTGATTTTTTTCATAAAAAAATAAAATAAAATGAGGATAAACTTGGCGGTCCTAATTTAAATTTCAGTTATGTAATCATTTGAGTTTTGCTTTCTCTAATTAATTAATGAATATGGCTCAGATCTTTGGTGGTCGGACCCCTTAAGAATTTATTATTGGTGAACGTGGTCCACGTTGCTCAAATTAGCTCCTAATTCTTCATCTCGATCCTATTTCTTCATCTCGATTTGGACAGTTAGATATTATCCTTATTTATGATCAAAGTTAATAAAGTCAATTTTTTTTTTTATTTTTTATGTATTCTTTATAAAATTGAACTGGTCTTTTTAATTACGAATAGAATTTTAAATTAAATTTTAATATATTTGAAAAATGTGCTAGTAACATCCTGTATTTTACAAATTCAATAACATTATTTTCACTAATTATATTCACGATGTAAAGAGAGGTAAGAGAAATTTGTAACACTTTCTTATCCTTAATTCATTCCAACACATATTACACAAAACAACGAGATATATTTTATTGCCCCTGTATATTTTATCATTCATGCATTTTAAAGAATGATTGGAAATAGATACAAACTATATTTTTAAAAAAAATTAATTTTTTTATTAAAAATTAAATTTTTTTATACTTAGAATCATTTTGATGCATTGATTTTAAAAATAATTTTTTTAAAAATAATAAAATATTATTTTGATACATTTCAACATAAAAAATATTTTGAAAAATAACTATAATTACATTTCATACTTTTAATCATTCAAAAACATTTATTAATACAACAAGTATATTATATCTTTATAGTTTTTTATAAAATTTAGAAATATCTCATTTTTATAAAAGCACTATCCAAGGCAGTCACAACTTTCCATCTCATATTCAATACCATAGTGTCATAGCTTGATTTTGCGTAGTTAGAACATATTAAAATTCTTTTAAAATAAATAATTATAATGATATTTTTTAAAAATATATACATTTACATCATGCTTTTTAAATAAAATTTAAGTTTTTATGATAGTATTAATAATTATTTTATTAATAAGTATACATGAATCTAATATACAATTGTTTTTTTATTATGCATAGATATTCAATAAGAATAAAATATATCTTTTGTTGTTTGTTTTTATTGTGAATTTTTATATAGGTTTTTTGAATTAATTGGTCAAGTATTATTAAGATATGATTTTTTATTATTAAAACTTACTTTTCATATCATGATTATTTTTTATTTGAAATACCATTATTCTAATAAAGACATGCTTTTGTCAAAATTATACATACATATATATATATATATATATATATATGAAAGGAAAAGGGAGTTTTAGCTCAAGAAATACACTTTTTTCTCCTTGATTCAAATCATTAAAAATTTTACAGAGATAGCTTATGAAAATGACTTGTCGTTTGTTTTTAGCTATACATAAGATGAAAAAACTAGACTCAAAAGAAAGTATATTTCAAAATGAAAATTGCAAGATGCGCTGACCTAGCGTTGCAAGTCAATGTGTGCTTAGATTGTCTTTGCAAGTTCAGGCATGACTAAGCTTCATCTACTTTGCCCTTCATTTTTTTTTCTTTTTTAATTATTTTATATTTTAAAATAAATTTATTTTTAAACAAATAACTATAATGATATTTAATAAATACCATAATTTCTAAATATAATTTGAGCTTTTTATAATATTATTAGCAATTATTTTATGAATAAAGATATATGAATCTAATATGTAATTCTTTTAAAAAAAAACTTTACATAGATATTAAATTAGAATAATATGTCTTATATTTATTGTGAATTTTTATATATTTTTTAAAATTAACTATTCTTTTAATGTTTCATACATTTGTATAAAAATTATCAAAACATGATTTTTTTTTATTGAGTTTTACATTTCATGATTAGTTTTTATTTAAAAAACTATATATGCTTCTAATAAAAAAAGATATTCTTTTGTAAAAAAATAGAGTGTTTGTTTTATTTAGAATTTTTATAAATATTTATTTTAATTACCTGGTTTTTTAATTACAAAAAGCATTGTTATTAATAAATAAAAAAGACATGTTGTGTGAAGATTAAAAAAAATACAAAATTTTGTAAAGAGAATTTCCATTTTATGATAATAAAATTAAATAAAAATAAAATATAAAAATGATACCATCGCGGGGCATATTTAATATTGTGTAAGCAATATATATATATATATATATAGACTGAGAGAGAGCGCGTAATTAACAAACAGATATAGGTGCAGAAAGCGCCTAGGGTCATAAAGAAGAGGAGAAATCCTTGCTTCCTGGAAATTAACAAACAGATATAGATTTGCCGAAATATCCGGTAGCCTAAACACGTGTTAATATCACCACTCCCGTTTTAACATCCTCCTTAACAGGCAACTAACTCCTTTTTCACATGCCTATTTCAAACTTACCATAATACCCTTCCCGCATCCACTTGGCATTACCATAATACCGGTCCTGTCATTCCTAAATTACGCGCTCTCTCTCAGTCTATATATACATACATATATATATATATATAATATTTATTTGTTGGCCCCCCATCTCCACCCCTACAACACCACCACCACCGCTCAAAACCACAAATTCAGGTGCAAAATAATTAATTTATTTATCTTATGAGCCCAGCAAATCTCCATGATCACAAAGCAAAGACCAAGAATATGTACCCACCACCACCCTTGAAAGTCAACAAGGACTCTCACATGATCAAAAAATCATTTCCATCAATTTGAGGGCTTCGCAAATCAAGAAAAGAGAAAAAGAAGTGGATCCGCCGTCGTCATCTTCATCCTCCGCGTCTTCGCTAGCTGTTACAGGTCCCATCAAGCCCCATCCGGTGATCATCTACACCCACTCGCCCAAAGTCATCCACACAAACCCTAAGGATTTTATGGCATTGGTGCAAAAACTAACGGGCTTGTCGCAGTCCGAGGATGACCCATCGGCACCTCACGTAAGGAAAGAAAATGGTAATAGGGTGGTGGCCATGGAGGAAAACAAGAAGGTGAAGTTTAACGATGATAATGAATCGTCTTCAGCTATTACTGATCATGAGAATTATGGGAGCATTGGTGATCGAGGACAATGTTTTATGCCACGCCATCCTAATTACATGACTAGTATTCCAATCTTTACACCTAATTTAGCTGAGTTTCTTTGTGCAAACCAGCCATGCTATAATAACTATACTACGGATCCTTTATTTCTTTCCTTCTCCAAATATGATCTCAGCAACTTCTGCCTTGGAGGTGAAGATTAATGAGTTCTGCGGGTATTATTAGTTTTCTTTCTTCTGATTTTGGAGAGAAGACAGTCTCTTGGCAGAATCTTTTTCTTCTTCTTCTGGTTTTAGTGTCAATAAAAGCTCCGATACATACCTATTCATATTTTTTATTCAATTTCAGAAATAAAGTGTTAAACGATGTTTCATTTTGTTCTGTGTATAAATAGTTGAGATTTGCTCATTGTTCTTGAGAATTAGTGCTTGTAACCTTTTTACCATACATGTGTGTATATATATATAGCTGCTCCATCATTAAGGGAAAATATACTGGTATTCTTGCTTTGCAAAGTACATTGCTTTTGCATGAGGTAGTAATTATTTTTTGTGTTCATGTCTGCAAAAGAAAACCATATCGAGAATTTTACGTTTGTTTCAAATTTAAATTTAGACCACAGTTATGGATTGTAAAGATGACGACAGCTCAATGAGGATAAACGACAGCTACAGTTCCAAAAAGAAAGCGTGCCGTTTCAATATTTTACGTACAGTTGATTTCACATCAAGTAAAGAGAGAGATCAAAGTGGGAATTACCGTTAGAAAATAAGACATGTATTGTTGAATCGAACATATGTACATGTACTCTTGATAAGACAGAGATTCAGAACAGCTGTTTTTCTGCATGCAAGTGTAATTCGAATTCAGATTCTTTTTTTTAGGTAGCTAAGCTAAGTGTTCCTAAATTATTTAGGATCCAGTTTTGGATTTAGCTTTAGCAATCTAAAGGAACAATAAGATGCTGAAACTAATGTGGGTTATGGAGAGTGATTCATTTTTATGGAATGTTTTTTAATTTTTTTTGTATTTGTTTATTTTAAAAAAAAAATTAGCCAATAAATAAAAGAAAATTTTAATTTCCTTATTTTGAGTGAAAAGCAAAAAAATTCAGAATTATCTTATTATTTATTAATTATATCAAATTTAATCCTTAATTGTTTTATTATTTTATATATATATATATTTTTTTTTTTCAATTTCATTCTTTAAAATTTAATTTTTATTTTTTTCCCTCTTATCCTTATCCCCATTGAATTTTTTTTATCTATCAAATTTTATCTTTATTTTTTTATATATCATATTTAATTTCTATTCTTTTAATTGTTATTTGTTTTATTTGTTATTTGTTTCATAGTTTTTATAACACTAATAAAGAACATAAAATAATTCACATTACATGGAAACCCTTTCCAAAAAATAACCATTTTCCAGCAAACACGCATTCATTGAAAATAAACAAGTCCTTGTAGTAGTAAAACATCAACTTTTTAAACTCTTTGTTTTCCTAATAATGATTCTTCTTCCGTGGTTGAGATTTACACTCGCACAGATGATTCTGTGGAAACATAACTGTACATGTATAAAAGGGAACACCATTACTTCTTCTTTTTGTCTTCCTTTTCTCTTTCAAGAACAACAGGAGCTGCTGGTATACTGAACCACCACTCCCTTAATCTCCTTGTCCATCTTTCTGTGCTTGCTTTCCTTGGAGGTGAATATCTTGTAAATGTCTCCAAAAAGATCAACAGGGTAATGTACTTGCTAGGTACGAAAACCACGATCAAAGCAACACACAGGAGAGTGAAAGCAAATTTCTCGCTTGCCTTGTAATTACATAAACACCCAAAAGCAGAATGCAGTTGAGTAATTTGAATAGAATATGGAGAATAGACGTGTAATTATACTCCTAATGCACTTATGATTTATGACATATGAAGAAGGTTAAAATTAGAAAAGATCAGACATGCTGGCCCGCAAGGAGAGTGACAGAGAGTAACCTGGGGGAAAATGGACAACAGCAAGGCACGAAACTTGAGGAGGATAATGTTTCCATCCTGGATGAACTGTTCAGCTTGAGAAATAGCATTCTGAACAGCTAAAAGCTGCTCCACCGTGTTCATTGGTGGAGGTGCTATTACCTTGAGTTTATCAACAGGCCTTCCTTGATTACAAAATCGTGTGAGCACCATAAAGATAGCAAGAAAGATGGTCATCAATCCAAAGGCATAGCTCAGCCATCCCCTAAAATGCAGATCCAGTAAGTACTTGTTGAAGGAAAAAACTGTCTCCGTAACATTGTAGAGAAATCAGCCTAATCCTACAGAGAAATCTCTCCCCCTTTCACGAACTTCCTCCTCTGTGACACTATCTTTCAACAACTGTGAATGTATAAAGAAATTTACATAATTGCACCTAGGTTTTCATCCAAGATCAAATATGCTTCCTATCAATCCAGAAACATTTTGATATATATGATTAGATATATAACTAGCTAATATTTTAGAAAGATTCACCCATAAATCAGTTTCGCACATTTCTCAAAGTGGCTTCGAAGGGCTATGAAATCAAATAGGAATCCATGGGAGAAAGTTCATGAATGCTCTTTCTGAATCCAATAACCAGAGTCCCACCATTCATTATTTACATATGAAAAAACCTCTAGTGGGAAAAAAAGATAGAGTTCTGACATGACCATCATATTCAAATCCCATGGAAGGCAAATTTGAAATGGCTACCAAATCTGTATTTCAAAAAAAAAAAAAAACCATTATGCAATTCAATCTTCTGTTGGTGCACAGAATGCATCCATGAATAAACCATTTCACACACAAGATTATGTCAGTAACTGTGCAATTCATGTTTCCATCCTAACAAAATCCCAGTCTCCAACAGTTAAACTGGGGCAGGTTGGAAATATTTGGAAATCACACAAAATTATTGTTTGATTCGGTTTCTAATACAGTTGACCATGAAAAGTTTGTTCTTTAACACGATTTTGTTTCATTTGTCTTTTATGATGAAAACTAGTAGTGACGGTAAATTAAGATAAAGAACCTAAATTTTCAAGCTAGGTTCATGCTTTTGAGGGCTTCGCAAATCAAGAAAAGAGAAAAAGAAGTGGATTTTTTTTTTTTTTTTGGGGAGATTGAAGAGAAAACTATCATCCCAACCTACTAGACGGTACAAAGCAAATGAAAAGGGCATAATTTGGTTTAGAGCCCAAAGGACAGGCAAATAAGGGGCAGGCTAGATTTCTTAATTCTAGGTAATCCAGCAAGGAATTCAACATACTACATATTGCATTCATAGCTTTGATCATCTAATGAGAGCACTTCCAAAGAAATTAAAATCTCAAAGGCACCCTTTATTGCATTTAAATATAACCAGTGATTTCCATCCCTGTTTAATCCTTTAGACATTTATATGAACTATACAGCAGTGTCGATAAACAAAAACTCCACTACTATTAGGATAACTTGATGATTTTGCATCATTATAGTAAGCCCAACAGTAAGCAATAATGTAATTAATGTCTTACCTCCAAATGACATAAGTGTGAACCAAACAGAACACCAAAGACTTCATAGGGTCATCCCAGTGTATCAAGGAAATAAGCCACTCCACAACTTCCATAACAGGGAGAAGTAACTCCTGCGAACACCAGATGTTTGCAAGGAATATTAGAAAGATTATTGAAGGTACTATATAAAAGAGCTTAAGAAAATGGCCTGTTGTCACACAAAAAAACTCAATATATTCTTGGCAACTTTATTTCAAATAATGTAAATAGCAGAAAGAATTCAGGCACAAAAAAGCCGTTACTGATTCCTATAGGGTAATTTATAGTTCTTAGCCTTGTCAGCAAACATCTCCATTTCCATTCATTCTAATGTCTTACCATGGCATTGATGATGGAAAGGAATAGAGGCAGATGGAACAAGGAAGCAAATGTGCTTGGTAAAATTGAAACTCAGAGTTACTTAGTACTATAACTAGCATCACCTTCATTACTGCCAGATTGGTATCAATGCCATCTACTTTAACTCCATCAACTGTTTCTTGTGCTAGCACAGTTTTTTTGTAGCTGTTTTGAGATTCCTTAACCACCTTCTCCAATGAACTCATCTCTCCCACAGCTATCTCACCAACAACAAGCCCAGCCTCATTAAGATCACCTGAACTTGTTCCTAGCACAAACCCTAAATTGGAAATCATGGCCAAGGAAGAGATTGAATACATCCCACCTCCAGCCTTATAATTGTTAGTCCGATCTAGTTCCCTTATGGAGGACATGTTTGCCAGGGTTTCCAGTATCAAATCTCCACCAGGAAGTTGATCACAAAGATTAAACATAAGAAGAGTTTCACAGCAAACAGAATTCACAGCACTAATTTCTTGAATTGCTTGAAGTCGCAGAATTCCAAGCACAGCCCTTGAAAGAGCTTCATCCCGTTCAACTCCAGAGATCTTGAACTTTTTTATAAATCTGTGAACGTATAAAATTTCCCGAATAATTGCCAACCAGTAATCACGACGAGTATGGCCTTTAAGCTCAGGAAACTCAATGACAGCTGGCTCTGATCTACATGAGAAACAATTAGAGGTTAATGCTAATAAAGTTCAAAACATATGTTTCATCAATGGAAAGGAAAATAAACACGAATCATGCCTTACAAGGAAATAGATTTATAGAAGACTGCCTTGTCAAAAAGACGAGTACCCCATGGCCCAGTCAATTCAGGTTTAATAATCTGTTTTAGGTCATCTGACAAATCATATATTTTTGGCTTGTCATAGGATACCACACGGAGAGCTTCAAAGTACAGTGCATGGTCGGTGAGAGTTAGACGGCCTGTATGCACATGACAGTAAATAGAAGAAATTAGGCAAATATTGCACAGCATATAGTTATCAGAAGTACGGGGAAATTTTATCATCTTTCTATATCATAACCTCTTTTGCATGTATGTTACACCTTACCTTGATTTCCTTTTCCCAAAGAGAAGGGAACAAATACAATGAATTTACCGAATCACTTATCCAATGAACCTACCTGGCCATGTAGATATTCCAACATGTTCAAGAACTGGTTGGGTTGTCACTGTTCCATCTACTTCCAGAATCTTCTCTCTTCTTGACAATCGCAGTGTAGAAAGGAGTGATGAATCTGATTGAGTCTTCATCTTTTTTATTGCCCTGTAGAGAATATAAACATAAAATATAAATCCTGGATGTATGTGCCTACACAACATAACATTACAGGTGTAAAAATATATTGATCCTACTGAACATAAAAATTGCCACTATATATTGCACAATCTTTAAATGAAATATTATGATCTTTACAATCAGGTATATTTAAAGAGAACATTTTGCGGGTTGTCAAAAAGGAAACAAAAATAAAACTGTACAGCCATTTCTGAATGAAACATCATCTTAGTCACATCATTCAGTCAGCTTTTATGGTGACACCTAACAAGATCCAACCTGATATATTCTATATATTGATAGGACAACAAGAAAAAAACATCAAGGAAGAAAAAGGCATCAACTCAAAACAAGCCTGACACACTATTAAAAGCTCTATACAAAATGCAACTAATAAGGATAATTTGCTAGCTGATCTAGCTTTATGTTTCACTGTGTGGTAATGGATATGTGAGGTATTTATGTGACCTTCCTTGGACATAAATTTTTTGATAGGGTTGTGAGTAAGGCTGTATGCTTTCTTGATAATCCATATTGTTTCTTTGTGATGTATTTTACGATATAGTCTCTTCCTGTGTGATTTAACAGACAAGTACATGAAAAAAATTCAGTTCCTGGGAAGAAAGCAGACAGAAAATAATAAATGAGAAAAAAAGAGCATTCTAGGCAAACCTAAGAAGTAAGAAACTTAATAAATATAGAAAAACAAAAGTACTTCAGCATTTGTTGGTTGGGCAACTACATCATAAAATGACAGGTGCTTGTACTGCATGACAAAGGATCTTGTTGGAAACGATGTACTGTACATCCCATCAGTTAAGGAAAAAAAAAGTTACCTTTCTAGTCCACTTAGGTACTTGTCATAGATGGAGAATTGAAGCCGGCCATCAGTTGCCTTAGTAAGCACATCAAAAAGATTTTCACTGATAACCACATTGGCAATGATTGGAACCGCTGGAGCTATTCGAGAGAAGGCCTCTAGACCAACTGTTAAGTCCTCATCTAACTAAAAGGAAATAAAATCCACAGTCAACAAATCAACAGTAAGGTGCCATAAACTTTCTACATAAAATTGCTCCATATTAGCCAAAACATTCAAAAGGACAGGGGAAAATGCAGATACTAGTAACAAGCACACAAAGACCAACATGCATGCATGAGCTTAGAGGGATGGGGGAGTGGGTGTATGTTTGGAATTCAACATTAGATTCTTCTAAACCTTCTACAATATCCATGCAAGAAGGGAGCAAGTGTGAATCTCCATGCCAAAATTGTGAGAAACAGCTTAGTTATATATAAAAAAAAACTGATGTTATTTTGGACATCTAGTGACATACAAATGAGTAAGGTCAGCATGATTAAGTGCAGAATTTTACATTGAGCACTGGTTGGCTAGCAGCTGCTGGAGTAGTCCAAGCTAGCATCATGTCATATGTCAACCGTCGGAACTTTTTATCAGCTAGATGACCAGTTACTTGAGTTGATAAAGCCAGTGCTCTGAAGCAACAGTATTCCAAAAAGTTCCTCGCATAACAGGAAAGATGCTTTAAGGAATCAGAAGCCTCTGCATTGAAGCTTTCTTGAAGTTCACAAGCAGAAATGCCAAGGATTCTGCATCATAGCCCTTGACCATAAGGAGATGAAAATTGCAGTAGAAAGGAAATTCATATACTTTGAGTTAGCAATCAGACTGTCTAAGTGAAAAGGGAACACCAGCCTACAAGATGGTCATATAGAAAGTCAAACTATATAGAAAGTTCCTAAATCAACTGAATCATAATTTGCACAGAAACTACAGCATGGGAAAAGAACAAGCAAGAACACAAAAAGAGTAGCACAACTTACTTTGAGCATCTACGAACAACCACATTAGCAAGTGGAGAGAGCTCAGCTATCCAATTCCTGCCAGCTGATGGAGACCTTTCCATCTCCTCAAATTCTTCATTAAAAGAATTTCCCTTTCCAAATAGCCATTTAAATGATCCTTCTCTTAATAAACCCTCAAGCGCACTTCTAGTTTTGTTTGCCGTAGGGCTAGCCATCTCTAATCTTCACCTAACTGTATGATCAAGTGAAAATATAGCCAGTAGCCCATCAAAGTCATCTCATCCCATAAACATTCCACCAAAATCCTTCCAATCAGCACATATACCTATTGAGACAAAACACTTAGCAAAACTACTTATTACTCATTCAACTCTATCCAACATACAAATTCCTAGTTGTGCAATCTAATCTGAATAATTCGTTAAAAGCCCAGCACAGACTATTATCGTCAAAACCCAGCTACTAAATTCACCAACAACCTAACCCAAAAACCATTCTTCAATTAATCACCAGACCAAACCACACCCTTGACCTTAACTCAAAATCTCATATTTAACTAGGGATTATATCAATTCTTACAACACTTGTGCTAAAATGGATGTACCACAATCTTTATCTCAATAAAATGAAGAAGAACAATACCACATCAAAAAGAAACTGTACCTTGACGATCAAATTCTCTAAAATCCGACAAGAATTCCACAAGCCCACCACAGATCAAGTTCAAGGAACCATTCTACAAGAACCCATTTGACTGAAAACGCAGACTTATAACAAAATTAAATTTGTCAAGCAGAAAAGGAAAAGCAAAGAAGATAAGCACCTTCTAGTTCAACATTGGGTGGTTTATTGTTAGAAATGATGCTATCTTGATCTGGGGTTTATCAGAAAGAGTGGGGGATGAAAAAAGAGAAAAGAATGAATGTTAGTTATATAAGAAAGAGAGATGCGGTGAGAAGAATCTTGCGAACTCAGTGTTGCTCAAGTTCACGTCACCATACCTATTGATTGGCAATTTAAATTCCATCCAACCTTCTATTTATTTATTATTATTTATTATTATTAATATATTTATGCAACTCGCCTATTTCATCTAATTTTATAAATTTTAAAATTATAATTATATAATTTTAAAATTTATAAAATTTAAATTAATAATTTTTAAAAAAAAATTAAAATCTGATCAATTAAACTATACTCCTTAAAATTTTATTTATTTATTTTTATGTTTAGAAAAATTATATACATACTAAATTTTAAATATCACTTAAAATAATAAAGAAAAATATAAATTACTTCAAGTTTATTTTTATAGTCAATTTAATAACAAAACACTCTTATATATTAAATATTATAACTTTATCATCGTATTAAAAACAATAAAAAAAAACTTTTATCAAATATATGTTTTGTTCAGACAAGAAGATAAAGATTATTATCAAGTTAAGATATGATCACCCCCTTAACAATTAGTCAATAAATCAATATTTTTTAATTTTGGTATATAAAAGGAGGTATTTATCTTGATTTTCAGATCAAGATCATGTTCTTACTCTCTCTTGTCATATTTAAGTTTTTCTTATATTAATCTCTTATTTATACTTCTCATTTCCTTTCCTTTACTTAGTTAACTTTTATCTTATTTATATTCTTATCTTATTTATTTATGTTTTTCTCTTTTATTATATTTAGTTAAGTTTAATATGTTAAGGTGAAAAAGTTACACTAATGATATAAGAATAAGTATAATATAAACTCAACATTAACCCTAATGTTTGATACTAATATGTTTTGTATTTATTATCTTATTCACTCTTAATACTTTGTTTGTTAAATGGTTAATTTAGATTTATATTGTATAACCCTTGGTACAACAAATACTTTGACACTTTCATAGCCCAAACCGTATGGTATAACCGACACATGTGCTATGAAATGAACTTGATTTGTTGTTAATATAAGTTATAATCATGAATGACAATGTTTACAAATATTAGTATTATTTGAATAAGATAACTAATATAATCATGTTAACAATTTATAATCTGATTGAAAACTTCTTTGTGTATGGTTTCCAATTGAGTAATAAGAGTTTATATTATACTTGTTTGAAATATCATTAGTAAATCCTCTAACCTTGACAATTATTTTTATCATTGTTTAATCTTTATATCAATATCACATCTCAAAACTCTCTTTATTATTATTCTTATTATTGTTATTGTTGTTATAGTTAACGTCCTTGTGGTTCGATATCGGTCTTGTCGGGTTACTTACTACTTTGACATTCCTATACTTGGGAGAAGACATCAATCTTTTGGTCATGTTAAGTTTTTGGCGCCGTTGTCGAGAAGGTAAATTCTTGTGCAAATTATAGTATTTATTTTATTTTTTCTTTCCACTTTTCTTGTATCTAAATTTGTTTCTTTTCTTTTCTTTTCTTCTTCCTTTTATTCTATTTCTACACGTGTATAAGAGTTTGGTCACGTACATTAAGTGGTAGACTTTATAGGGTATCCTTATCATTTTTAAAAAATATGGTCAAAGAAGATAACCAGTCGCTTCATAATGAGAATAATAAAAATAATCGTGTTAGAACACTTAGAGACCACATGAATCCTATAAGAGCAACTGCACCATCATGCATATTTTTCCCAGCTGATGCATCTCATTTTAATTTTAAACCGAGCATTATTCAATTTTTATCTTTTTTTTCATGGCTTAGATTTAAAAAATTCATACTTGCATTTAAGGGAATTTGAGGAGGTTTGTAACACATATAATAACTTCAATTGTAGCATAAACACCATCAAATTAAAGCTTTTTCCTTTTTCATTGAAAGATTAAGCTAAAACATGGCTACAAAATTTGAGACCATGATCTATTCGTGCATGGGATGAAATGCAACAACAATTTTTAAAGAAGTTTTTTCCATCTCATAAAATAAACTCTTTCAAAAGAAAAATCATCACTTTCACTCAAAAATCAAAAGAAACATTTTACCAATATTAGGATAGATATCGAGACTTGCTTAATACTTGCCTTCATCATAGTTTTGAAATATGAAGATTGGTTTCATATTTTTATAAAGGGTTAACACCTAGAGATAGACAAATGATTGAATTGATGTGCAATGAAACTTTTGAAGATAAAGACCCTAATGAAGCAATGGAGTACCTAAACTTGCTAGCTGAAAATGCTCAAAATTAGAACACTACAAACATTTATGAGGCATCAGTAAAAGTCAATCTTATATATTTAGTGGAGGTATGTACAACCTTATGGAAGATCATGACCTCCAAGCCTAGTTTGCATCTTTAGCTAGAAAATTTGAGGTACTAGAATTGAAAAGGAGTGGTTAATTAAAATCTGTTCAAGACATTATATGTCAAATCTATAAAACCAATGAACATTCAACTAATGACTGTTTAACTTTGTTTTCTTTTAAGAAATGTCTCCATGAATAAGCTCATGCTTTAAATAGTTTTCAAAGGCCCAATCATAACCCATACTCACAAACATATAACCCTAGTTAAAGAAATCACTCAAATTTTAATTGAAAGAGTAATAATAATAATACACAAACTTCACAACCACCGTATCAAACACACTATAATTTTCAAAATTCTCATAAATATGCACCCCTTTATGCTCCACCTTATAAAAGAAAATTTGAGAAAACATTCCATGCATTCATTGAAAAACAAGAGACAATTAATACTCAACTTGCTCAAAGCATGACAGATTTTAAAGATACTCTTACAAAGTTCACATCTGCTCTCAGTTTCCAAGAGATAGGTAAGTTTCCATCTCAACCATAAAAAAATCTCAAGGGGCAGCACAATATAAATGTAAGTAATTCCAAAAACCAACACAAAAATCCAGTCAAATCACTCATCACTCTTCGCAGTGATAAGGTTATTGAAAAACTCATTTTTGAACCTTATGAAAAAGATGATGAGTTAATCTCTGAGGGTAAGGAAGGGGTTGGATCTAAATATTACAAAGAAAAGACTATTTTTATATGTCCATTTGATACTTTTGCATATTGAAGGATGTCTTTTAGATTATGCAATGCACAGGCCATGTTTAAAAGATGCATGTTCAATATATTTAGTGATATGGTTGGATGTTTTCTTGAAATTTTTATAAATGATTTTTCTATTTTTGGTGATTCATTTGATGATTGTTTAGCAATTAACTTAAAAAAGGTTTTAAGAGGTATAAAGAGAAGAATCTTGTACTGAATTGGGAAAACTATCACTTTATGATAACAAATGACATTATACTTGGTCACATTATTTCATAAAAAGGAATTGAGGTTGACAAATCTAAAATTGAGTTAATTGCTAACTTGCCAACACCAAAATCTATTAAAGATGGTAGATCATTCTTAGAATAAGCTGGTTTTTATAGAAGGTTTATCAAATATTTTAGTGTGATATTTAAGCCCTTGAATAACCTTCTAACAAATAATAATATTTTTTAATAGACTGAACATTATGAAGAAGCCTTTGCTAAACTTAAAAGCTTACTTACTTCTGCTCCTGTCATCAACCTCCTAATTGATTATTACCTTTTGAAATAATATGTGACGCTATTGATTATATCATGGTTGTTGTTTTGAGATAAAAAAAAAAGATAAGAAAATTATGTAATTTACTATATAAGTAAAACTTTAATTAGTGCTCAAATGAATTACACCACCACTGAAAAAGAAATACTTACAGTAGTATTTGTATGTGAAAAATTCAGGTCCTATCTTGTTGGCTCACCTGTTCTTAATTTTAGTGATCATACAGCATTGAAATATCTTCTTTTTAAGAAAGATTCTAAAGCTAAATTAGTGCGATGGATTTTGTTACCTCAAGAATTTGATATCACAATTAAAGAAAAGAAAGGCACTGTAAAGATTGTCGCAGATCATTTGTCAAGATTGACAACATATTCAAAAACATACATCACATCAATCGATGACTACTTTCCTGATGAATCTTTACTTTCTGTCTCTACAATGCCTTGGTTTGCTA